GTCTTGTTCAGCTTCTGTGGGTCTCTCAGCTTGAGGAAAGGAGGATGAGTTGCAGGGATGAAGGATTATNGACCAAGCTTATCGACATAAAGTATCACTTTATTTGCTCTTTATTGGAGGATGGGCAGTTCACTTTGGAGAAGATTCACACAAAGGATAATCCGGCAGACATGTTCACGAAAATGGTTACAGTGTAGAAGCTGAAGTCTTGTTCAGTTTCTGTGGGTCTCTCAGCTTGAGGAAAGGAGGATGAGTTGCAGGGATGAAGGATTATTTTTAGGAGGATTGCGGTTGATGTTGGTGATCAAACTAGTCCCCAAGTGGGAGATTTGTTGGGCTTTTGTGGAGTCTAATTTGTGTTGACCTAGATGATAACCCGACCCGAAATAATATTGTGTAATTTTTTAATGAAAAATTTTCTGAGGCTTAGTCTATGGAGTGGAGGCTTAGGCCGATAGGCTTGTTTTTTTGGGCTTGTTTTGTGGCCTGATGCGCAGAACATATAAAAACTGTTATTTTGGAGATTAGAGTTGTATTGGTACTGTATAACCGCCCTCTATATTCCTTCTTCTCAATAATGAAATGCCTACAACTTCGTGGACCTAGGCAAATTGCCGAACCACAAAAAAATCTGTTTATCTTGTTCTTTTTTGCTTCTCATTATTTTCTATTCTTGGTTTGTTCTTGGTAGTGTGTGTTTGTCTATGGGTTTAAAGCGCGTTCAATCCCAACAAGTAGTAGGGTGGGCATACCTAAATATACTCAAAAAATATTTCAAATTTATATAGGTAATATTAATAAATAAAAAAAATTGAGCTTGGACAAGTGCCCACCCTTGTCCTCACTTGGCTGTTTGAAATCGATTCTATTTAAAATATATGGCCTTGGTTAATTCCACCAAAGTCTTCATTGAAAGAAAACTCAATCTATATATCAACACAATTGAGATTTTGATGACTCCCAACTATTTCTCATAACGTAAAAGATAGAACACCCAAACTCACTACAAGGACCAATTGACTCAATTACTTCCAATTGTTATTAGCATAAAATTTTAGCTTTTCTTATGCTGCAACTCCAGAAAGTACACTCAGGTTGCTGGTACTTAAAAACACAAATACACATACAAATGGATTGGTTTCTCAGGTTGCCGGTACTTAAAAACACAAATACACATACAAATGGATTGGTTTTCTAAAGAACTCCAATCTTTGACTCAGTAGATTGAACCCTCTTTCAATAGTTAACAACAAAGACAGGTTTACAGTAGCATTTTTTGCTGATAGAAAGCGAAGTAGTGGNCAGGCTATATGATTTGAGAATCGGAAAACACGCAGGAGTATTGATATGGAATTTAATGAGTCAATTTTGTATAGAAACAGACTCAGTTAACCCAATGAGACCAAGGTAAAATCAAACTTTGTAGAATTTGAGGGGATCCCTAATAGAAATGTCTTAGANAAAAGCGAAGTAGTGGACAACCAGCAGGAACAACCCCACCAAGGCATGACCATAGCAACCTAGGAACCAAATGACAAAAGGAGCCTAAACTAAGGGAATCACGGACTCTTCGTCAANGAAAGCGAAGTAGTGGACAACCAGCAGGAACAACCCCACCAAGGCATGACCATAGCAACCCCTACCCACTAGGAACCAAATGACAAAAGGAGCCTAAACTAAGGGAATCACGGACTCTTCGTCAAGCAGATCAAACCGTAGCTTGGCGCCGACCCCACCCAAATCATCACAAGACAAAGAATTGCCCTTGAAATTCGACCCCTGACTGCCTGGCCACCTGGGGATTTTCACCTACAATNTCCTAGAAGGACTATAGGTACGGTAAAACCTTCAGTACGTTATTCTCCATCTTTGCATTATTTGTTGTTAACTGATAGCGGTAAACCAGAATGTTTTGAATAAGCATTGCAGGTTGAGTCCAGAAAGGAGTGAGAGCATGCGATGGATGATGAGATGGATTCTCTCTCATTTAATTAGACTTGAAAATTAGTTCAATTGCCCAAAGCGAAGAGAGTTCTGTACAACAAGTGGGTTTACAAGATTAAGGAAGAATCTGATGGGAGCAAACGGTACAAAGGCAAGGTTGGTAGTCAAAAGTTTTGAACAGAAACAAAGTATAGACTATACTGAAATCTTTTCTCCTGTTATTAAGATTTCTACTATCAGATGTGTCATTAATATTGTGACTGTTGAGAACATGCATTTAGAGCAGTTGGATGTTAAAACTGTTTTTCTTCATGGGGATTTGGAAGACATTTATATGTATCAGCCAGAGGGATATGTTGTGAAAGGCAACGAGAATCTAATATGCAAGCTGAGAAAGAGTCTGTATGAGTTGAAACAGGCTCCGAGGTAATGGTATAAAAAGTTGATACCTTCANTTTTTCTTCATGGGGATTTGGAAGACATTTATATGTATCAGCCAGAGGGATATGTTGTGAAAGGCAACGAGAATCTAATATACAAGCTGAGAAAGAGTCTGTATGAGTTGAAACAGGCTCCGAGGTAATGGTATAAAAAGTTGATACCTTCATGGCAACTACGGGATTTAGTCGATGTCATGAGAACTATTGTTGTTATTTTAAGAAGCTTGGTACATCATCTCATACTTTTGTTGTATGTAGATGATATGTTTATTGCAAATTCAAGCATGGATGAGATTATTAATCTCAAGGCACAACTGTCAAAGGAGTTTGCAATTAAGGATTTGAGCTCTGCAAAGAAAATTCTTAGGATGCGAATTAGTAGGGACAAAGCAAACATAAAGTTGAAGTTGTCACAAGAGGAGTATGTTGAAAAAATGCTGAAAAGGTTCAACATGGAAAGTGCTAAGCCAGTTAGCACACCTTTGCCAAGTCACTGCAAGCTTTCGAAGAAAAAATGTGCAGTAACAGATGAAGAGCAGAATTATATGTCAAAGGTTTCATATGCATCAACGATTGAGAGTTTGATGTATGTCATGGTCAATACAAGGCCAGATATTGCTCATGTAGTGGGAGTTGTCAGCAGGTTCATGGCAAATCCGGGCAAGGAGCATTGGCAAGCAGACAAGTGGATTCTGCACTACTTGAGAGGTACTTCAGATTTGGATTTGAATTTTAGATGTTCTAATATTTGTTCGCAAAGGTTTGTAGATTCAGATTTAGCAGGGGAGATTGATAGCAAGAAGAGCCCTACAGGGTATATTTTTACATTGGCCAGTGCAGCAGTCAGTTGGGTCTCGAGGTTACAGAAAATAGTGACTATTTCAACAACAGAGGCGGAGTATGTTGCAGCCACGGAGGTGTGCAAGGAGATGGTATGGTTGAGGAGCTTCATGAAAGAGTTGGTAAAGAGCAAGGCAATTCTAAATTGTTCAGCAATAGTCAGAATGCAATACATCTAGCGAAGAATACAGCCTTTCATTCGAGGACCAAGCTTATCGACATAAAGTATCACTTTATTTGCTCTTTATTGGAGGATGGGCAGTTCACTTTGGAGAAGATTCACACAAAGGATAATCCGGCAGACATGTTCACGAAAATGGTTACAGTGTAGAAGCTGAAGTCTTGTTCAGTTTCTGTGGGTCTCTCAGCTTGAGGAAAGGAGGATGAGTTGCAGGGATGAAGGATTATTTTTAGGAGGATTGCGGTTGATGTTGGTGATCAAACTAGTCCCCAAGTGGGAGATTTGTTGGGCTTTTGTGGAGTCTAATTTGTGTTGACCTAGATGATAACCCGACCCGAAATAATATTGTGTAATTTTTTAATGAAAAATTTTCTGAGGCTTAGTCTATGGAGTGGAGGCTTAGGCCGATAGGCTTGTTTTTTTGGGCTTGTTTTGTGGCCTGATGCGCAGAACATATAAAAACTGTTATTTTGGAGATTAGAGTTGTATTGGTACTGTATAACCGCCCTCTATATTCCTTCTTCTCAATAATGAAATGCCTACAACTTCGTGGACCTAGACAAATTGCCGAACCACAAAAAAATCTGTTTATCTTGTTCTTTTTTGCTTCTCATTATTTTCTATTCTTGGTTTGTTCTTGGTAGTGTGTGTTTGTCTATGGGTTTAAAGCGCGTTCAATCCCAACAAGTAGTAGGGTGGGCATACCTAAATATACTCAAAAAATATTTCAAATTTATATAGGTAATATTAATAAATAAAAAAAATTGAGCTTGGACAAGTGCCCACCCTTGTCCTCACTTGGCTGTTTGAAATCGATTCTATTTAAAATATATGGCCTTGGTTAATTCCACCAAAGTCTTCATTGAAAGAAAACTCAATCTATATATCAACACAATTGAGATTTTGATGACTCCCAACTATTTCTCATAACGTAAAAGATAGAACACCCAAACTCACTACAAGGACCAATTGACTCAATTACTTCCAATTGTTATTAGCATAAAATTTTAGCTTTTCTTATGCTGCAACTCCAGAAAGTACACTCAGGTTGCTGGTACTTAAAAACACAAATACACATACAAATGGATTGGTTTCTCAGGTTGCCGGTACTTAAAAACACAAATACACATACAAATGGATTGGTTTTCTTAAGAACTCCAATCTTTGACTCAGTAGATTGAACCCTCTTTCAATAGTTAACAACAAAGACAGGTTTACAGTAGCATTTTTTGCTGATAGAAAGCGAAGTAGTGGACAACCAGCAGGAACAACCCCACCAAGGCATGACCATAGCAACCCCTACCCACTAGGAACCAAATGACAAAAGGAGCCTAAACTAAGGGAATCACGGACTCTTCGTCAAGCAGATCAAACCGTAGCTTGGCGCCGACCCCACCCAAATCATCACAAGACAAAGAATTGCCCTTGAAATTCGACCCCTGACTGCCTGGCCACCTGGGGATTTTCACCTACAATATCTTTTCACCAGACAACAATCCCTGGCAGTGACCAATTATGCTTCTTGTGTGAAATTAACATGGGTTTCTTATCATAGAAAATGTAGATGGCAGAAGACAATTTTTAAATCCCAATATAACTTTCATGTATCTTCAAGAACATATAAAATCAATAAAAAATGCTAAAATCAGAATTCCAAATTGTCTCATTTTCGTCTCGTAACAACTCCATCATTGTTATAGAAGAAAATTTTTGACATTAGAGAATGCAATCATATGTGATATGTCAGAAAAGTTGCAAGAACCACAGAGGTGTAGTTTGAAGAGAAGCCTGCATAGGAGATACCTGGGGTGAAGCCAACAGAATTATATTCTTGAAATTCTCCAATGTCTTTTGCTGAGAGAGAAAAATTGTATCAGAACATCAGGCAAGTAAGAAAGAACACACAATCACGTTCTGTTTCTTAATTTCTTGTTTTTCTCAAACAGTCCAAATCATGTTGAGTTAAAGCTATTATTACTGCCATAACTTTGGAAAACTTAAACCTCTACATAGGGGACAAATGAGAGTTACAAGTTCTAGTTCCCAAACTTATGGAAGAAAATTCGTACCCACAAACCCCCAAAAAAAAAAACGAAAAAAAAAAAGAAATGGCGGAATGACATAAAAGAATAAAGGAAAAAATGAGGTTAACCTCTCAAGCATGATACGGGAATGAGAAGAGTCTACGTAGTACCTTGCATAGTTTGTAGAAGAAAGTGTTTTCCAAATTTGGAGCATCAGTCAAAGTAAGCTGATGAATGCACTGAGTGCCCTTGAGTTTTTTCAAGAGCCACAGCCCAGAGTTGAACAAAGAGTTTGAACTGTACAGATAACCTAAATGTGGACCAGAAACAGAAACATAGGTATACAGGTACCTAAGGAACGGTTCCATGATGCTCTCTGCAAAAATAGAAGCACTCACTTAGCACAGCACTGCATATTAATTGACATGGCCTCCACAGCCATTAGTTGCATACCTGTCAATGCAGTTCTTATGATGACATTTCCAATGGAATGACCAACAAAGCTGAGCTTAAGAGTTCTTAACCCTCCAGATCTTGAAATTTTATCCATTTTCTTTTTTACGAAAGAAGTCACTTCTTGAGCCAGCCTCATTCCCATTTCTCTAAAGTCTCCAGATGTTTTTTCTTCATTCACCTCTGACATGAGAAAGTCTACCATCGGATCTATCAATAACCATTGATTCCGGACAAGCCGTAAATCCAGATGATGTCCCTATTTGAGTCGTCATGAATAAGATCAGTACATCTAGATTTGGAAATACAATGACAAAAGAGCATGCATCATGTTGACTTCACAATCGGTATTCCAACCACTAAACTCTGTATAATAGTAAGTGGTTTACTAGCAAAGTGCATAACAGCCACTGATATATTATAGTAGATATTTGGATGCTTAATTGAGATTCACAATAAGAAATAACAGAAATAAGAAACCCCCCCCCCCCCTTTTTTTTTTCCCTAAATCAACCAAAAATGATCAAAGCATTCCTTACAGAACAGATTTTTTTAATTCACTCACATAAATCTCATATCTTGAACCTAATAAGAGAAGATTGTACCAAAGTTGTCATTGCACTAAGATTTATAGCTTCAAATTACTATAGAAACCCTGCATCCGGGTTCGGATCCAAGTCAATATTCAAAACACCCAATCAGATATTTCAAAACATGCCAAAGCATCATAAATAAATTATGGAATAATATAAAAACAAGTTGGAAAAGTATCGCCCGTTCCGAAATTGAGAAACCCTACACGTTCGGTATTTTGATATGAAATAACCAAAAATTAAACAATGTTATTTTTCGATGAAATTTAATACACATACTCAATTAACCTACCTAAGAATTAATATAGAATTTATTTTCTCAAAATCACTTAAAACTATGTCAATTTGACCCCGGAGGGCAAAACAGTCATTTTATTCCTCATTTTGATCCTGTCGTCGGATGGACTTGAAATTTTACCGGGACCTCCGTATGAACATTATGGAGCTTTTGACACAAACCAGAGGTCGGATGAAGCCAAAATTGCCGTCACTGGTATCCCCCACCCCACTTCATCTTCAACCTTAGTTTATTTGACTTTTGTCCTAAGTGCAAAAATTTCTGCTCAACCACCCTACTTTGACCCTAATTTCTGCTCCCACTACAGTACACCATATCTTTTGATTTTAACATCCACATACTCCTTGGATAANATGCTCCCACTACAGTACACCATATCTTTTGATTTTAACATCCACAAACTCCTTGGATAACCTAGTATTTATCCCTCTTAGACTCAACCTTTGAATTGAATTCTGACAACATCAAATTATTGGTCAAAGTTGGCCAAAACCTATTTTTTTTAAACACAAGGGCAGACCTGCAACTATCCATTTCACCCCCAAAACGACCTCTAAATCCAATTCCGAGACCGGAAATAGATTCCTTGATCCCAAATTGGCTAGACTCAAGCCCCCTTTTGAAGCTTAAACAAGTTTTAATCAAAATCACATTTTCACTTCTTCAAAACCCTCACACCACCATTACAACACACACCACGGCAAACCACCACACCACCACTAAACAACTCCTCAAGACCCCCCCAAACTCAGCCATACCAAACAATTAACCCAAATCAAGCTCAAATCTCAAACCCGTTTCAAAATCCAAAAAAACTCATTAACTTTAAAACACAAATTCATGAATTAATACCAAACCAAATCAAAATCTAAATACATAATTGAGTTCCTAACATCTATATTAGGTTGTGAGTATACTAGTAGTCTCTGCAAGAAATCCGAAAATTCAAAGTCTACACTCTCTCTCTAACTTCTCTCTCTCCTCTCTCTTTTCCCACCGAATCTTTATCCATTTTATTCCCTCCCAAGCAGCTCACTCAACTCTCCCCAAGTAGCTGGGTGTCCTCCATGCAACCTGGCAAGCCTCCATCAGCCACCTTGCATGTGTAGATAAGTCTTGAAACTTCAATGGCAGTTTGGAAATTTCCCTATTTTGTCTAATTTTTGAAAATTAATTAAAAATATATTTTTTTTTCACAATCACATATATTAAATCAAGCATTTATAAAATTATCTGTTAAATTTTTGGATTGCGAATTGACCTCTAATTTGATCCGCTAATGCAACTCCTGCATTCCTAATTCAATGATACGTACTAATTCTACTTCGTCCATTTGTGCTTCCCGACTCATTTCTTTTTCACCAACCACATTCTTACACCTAGCAGACCTCCTAACCGCACACACCCAACGATTTCTAATTACCGAAACTCGGGTTATTACAATCTATATTTCAGACGAATGGAAGGTTTATATCATTGAGATCTACTTAACATGTGCTTTAGAGATTTTTGTGCATATACTACCAGGTTCAAATTTTACGACACTATTTTTTTCCCAACCCTTGGACCTTCAATGCAAGACTCCAAAATTCTAAATTATTTGTTGTATAGAATTTGTGGTGAAGGAGCTAAGATTTGTGTCATTTTCAATCGAAAAGGCCAAACAGTTTGCATTTTCTAGGAATCGAAATAAAGTTGAGTTTAAAAAATAAAATTCCACTGTTTCCACCAAAACCTAATGAAGCACAGGAATCATAACAAAATACATCAAAACAAAACGAAACAAGGTTTTTTTAAAGGACTTCAATCAGGAATCTCTAATACCTTTTTAAGAGAAGGAAAAAAAAACCATGTGCAACATCATACGTGTACCCGTTTTTTCAAAAAAAAAAAAAATTCTTTTCCATTGTGTTTCCTAAACATCGTCGAAATGTTTATGCTCCCAAGACAACTGAAACTACAAACCAAAATATAGTTAGCCCTTTGTGGATAACAAATGTTAACAATTCTAGCAAGTGAATCACTTGCAAAAGCAAGAAAGTTCCAATACTCAACGAGTCCTCCAAGCCTACAACCTTTCCTTAGCTTTTTCAAAATCTAAACCTACAAGTTCCCTAAAACATTTATCAAGAACCAAAAAAAAAATATTTTAAAAGAAAACAAAAGAAATGTAACAATTTTCCTGATTTTCTATAGACTATAACTTGGACTCTAAATCTACAAACTTCTGACTCAATGCTAAAATTTGAACCAAAAAATGACCCATGGGTCATACTATAATAGTTGTGATGCACAGACCCATTATTTGCCCTCATGTATCCGTGTCCAACACGTCTGAGAAACGGACACGTCCCGGACACGAGGCAGATACTCAAAAATCAGTGTCCAAATTTTTTTTTATTTTTTTGAAAATCGAACATGTTCCGGATATGTTTTCTCCAACCAACCAATCTTTGGTTGATCACAACAGTTGGGGTCGATAAAGACAGACAACAAAGATTAAAGAGAAGAGAAAAGGAGTCATCTCCGGTGATTACAGACAACAACGGTTGTTCACATCAGCAGTCATCTTCGGCGATCACCTGCCATCTTTACAAAAAAAAAAAAGGAAGATTACTGAGAAGAGAAAAGGAGAGAGATGTTGCAGATGTGTAGGTGTATTTGAGAGAGAAAGAGATGGGTGAGGGGGGCAGATCTAGTTTTTTTTTTTTTTTTTTTTGGGAAAGTGGCAGATATTTTTTTTTTCTTCTAGATTATTGTGTTGCTTAAATCAAGTCATTGTCATGTGGAATGTCATTATTGGTTTTCTCAGATTTTTGTCTTATCTCCTTATCAACTTGAAAATATCAAATGTGACCCAAATTAAATGAGAACTTAAAACTTGTACATTCCATTGAATAGGCTAACTTAATAATTGATCTGTTTTATGGGTCTTTTTTTTGTCCAATAAAATTAATGAGTGAATTAAAATTAGACAACATTTGGGCTAGATTTATTTATTTACTTAGGCAAAAAATATGTATAAAAATGTGTATTGGGTCAAATTTATGAACTATTAGTCATATAAAAATTAAATACATATATTTATTCAACGTGTCCGTGTCCTGCTTTTTTGAGAAATAACATATTCGTGTGTCCGTATCGTGTCGTAACTGTGTCTCGTGTCCATGTCCATACTTCTTAGTATAATAGTATAATATGTTCCAGCAAACTTGGAAATTACAAAAATACCTCTAATCTAAATATATATCAAAAAGACGTATAAAATACGAATGCTAGCAAACCGACTTCTAGTAACTAAGATATAAGACAACACTAGACCCACATATAATTATGGAAGGTTCCATGTGGGGCTCTGTCTTCATAGCAAGTCAAACTCTATAGTTTGTTATGAATTTGCCTTTTCCTTGAATATCTTACATACTCCATCACCTGGTTTTGGACAGGAAAGATCAAAAACCTTTATTCCCCATGGGAAGACTTCTTCTATTGGCCACTGATAATGGTGACCATCAACTTTAAACTAGTGGAAAACAGTAACAAAGTGATCCCAAAGCATAGCACGTGATGTTAGACTTGGCTCAATATTTTTCCGCGGCATTGCCTTAACAAGAAAACATAAATGAAAATTTTAAAATTAAAGTTTGCAAAAGACAATTGTTAGGGTGATTCCCCTGTTATGGGGTGAGGAAAGGATAACTGGATACAGGCCTGGTATCCTAATATAGGATGCTGAGAGGGAAAGAATGGGTATAGTTTTGACCTACATGATTATTTCCATGAAATGGCTACCCTCCAACTTGAACCCACGATCCTATGCTCTGTACTAAGCAATGACACCTTATAATACACACTACATACCACTGAAATTAACATTCTAAGATAAAAAGAATAACAGTACCTGAGAGTATAAACAGATGATACAAGTTGCAAGGGACTGGCTTGGAAGATTATAGTCACTGAGATATGTCTAAGAGCTTAAGTATGACTTTAGTTCAGTAGTTCAAATCCTAACACTATTGAGAGCTATTCTTGAATGCACCGGCCTTCCTTCTAGCTCTGTGGTTGAGGACCTCAAATTTCAACCACTTAGTTGTGGGTTCAAGGGCTGGTAGAGAGAGAGAGAGAGAGAATAGAGAGATTCTTGAATGCATAAACTTGAAAAAGTACTTAAAATCACTGTCACGTGTTTGTAGCATAATTATTCACCACACTAAAATGCAATTTCACGCTACTATTGTACTAATTATTATCCAGACTACTATTGCAATTTCATAATTAAGGGCTAGAATTTATTATTTATGTAAAACTCCATGAGAAATCAATCAATGATGAACAAAGATTTGCAGCATTGAAAGTCCTAACTGTAATTGTCTTCATTTCTTTCCTTTTTTTTTTTTCTCATCTTCATTGTGTAATCTCCCTTAGAATTTCTTACCAAAGAAGGCCATTTTTTCTACTTAAAAAAAAGCTATATAAATCCATATAGAATCCCAAATGTAATTCCACAAACCTAGCATAAAGACCAGAATCAGAGAGCAGAATTCCAGAATGATCCTGCATAGGTACCATATTCCCAATTGAGCAATCCATATGGCAAATCACCATTATTCTAGTAGCTTAGGGTAACAGTTTCTGGGCATTTAGATTGATCGTGACAAGGATTATGGTACTTGAATTCCAAACAACTCTGCATATCATTATTAGCTCATTATAATCAAACTTATTTGGTTTACCATCAAATAGAGTTCAACAGTTTCACAAGATAAGCAAAAGAGACAAATATACCATTGACAACATAGATGAGTGTGCAATACTTACTACAAACAAATGCATGTTTCACTATGGTACTTATGAAATATTTCATGCTGAGAGAACCTTGTAGAGGAAGAAACTATAGATGCCAAAAACAGACAGGATTTATAAATTCTATCACTGCTATGAGATAGGAAAACATGCCTGAAAACCGTGAACAAAAACAACAATCTTCAAAATACGACCATTCTGTCGGGTTACACCACCAGATAATTTGTTCATTGACTTTGAGCTAAATCCAGAAATTATGCTATGGGTATCTTGCTGGTCCAAATGGCTGAAATATGAATTTCCGCTGGTTGCACGCAGTGGAACATTCCCAACACGTTCTACAATTATAATGGGAATGCATGATGGATCACCAAATATATGCATGTCTTGAATTGATCGACTGTTGATCTGCAAGTAAGTAGTACCTATTGATAAACTCCATTATAAACGAAGATTAACAATGTAGCACTCCATACAAAAGCATGAACACACCTTCATTTGTGCAATACTTCGCCGATGAAGCTCAGCACGCATAGCTGCAGTCTGGGCAGGCTGCACAATACACAAGCATATAATCAAGGTCAAAAAAACATGTAAAGAACATGGCAGCTCATTATCAAAAGCAGCATGCAGTAGCAGACTCTTAATTCAACCTAAAGCTCAAGTGAAAAAAAAAGAGCTTTTATGCTTAGCGAAAGTAAAGCATACAAACAGTTACAAGAGTTAATGCAGTTACATCATCAGCTAACTTCCTCAGAACAGGTGCTTTCCCACGAACACCATGGTATGAAGACTCATCAACCTCGCTAATTATGTACTGGTGAGGCATCTCCACCTTAGTGTAGACCATCCATATTGACCATTCAGCTCTTCGATCATTGGCCCATGCATCACGCAGAACTTCCAGAACCTTTGTTTTGTTAGCCCTGGAGTAAAGTAAAACATCACATTTGAACTTGAGTAAAATGGGGTAAGCCAAGTTCTGTACCAGAGTCCAAAGGTTTGAGTCAGTAATTTACACTTTCAAGGAACAGACATAAAGACGCAGCTTCTATTGTTACACTGGGTTCCAGTAGAAACAGTCCTCAGTTTTTCCTAGATTCAGGTGTAATGTGATGTGCATCTTGTAGGTGTGCAACCACTAGATTATACTTTCACCATTGAAAAATGACTTCCTAAAACTGTGAAGGTTCTTCGAAAGGTTTATAGCCCAAAAAAAGGCAAGATATGTTTCCATTAGTTGCAAAATTTCCAACAGAATAAACAAGTCAACCTCCAAGTCTGTGAATATTGAGCCGGTATATTCTGATTAATAATCAGATTAAGAAACGTGAACGTTATTATAGGAGACAGATACGAAAAGAATAGTTTGATTCTGAAATCAGTTGAGAAAGAATCAGCTTTCATCACGAAATAAATTCAATAATGGAAACCACAAAGGCTGAAACAAAAATGCAAATATCAAAGCATTCAAGCACCGTGATGAATGTTGTCTCCTACATCTACCATTGGGGACCACCATCTCTTTCTTTCTCCAAATCATTATTCGAATTTAAGGATGTCAAAAATATCATGCAACACGAGGAATACATGCATTATGTACATGTCCCCTGTTATACACTGTAGGAACGAAACATCTAAACTCCACTAATGAATATGAATCCTGACAATATGTATGTAAGCACTAGCCATTCCCCTTAAGTGATGCATTGCACTTGCCCTCCAATGCTTAAAAAAAATGGAGGTGCTGCATTTTAGCCACCCTTGTTGCAATGAAAAACATGCAAGTGTTCTCGCGTCTATCTGCACGAGTGCAGGTAAAGAAGTTAGTTGAGGATATTAAATTTAGATTAATGACCTAAAATTTAGGGACAGTAAAATATTAATGAAAGTCGTCAATATAGCATGCTTAGAGAAAGCTAAATGGGGAGGAAAAATAGGGAAATATAGTCACAAACTATATGGTACTGGAAAAGGTAGATCTGAAGTTAGAATAACAGTAGACAAAATCTTAAACAAGAAACGGTATCTATTATTAGAAAATGAGATAGAACAATAGTATTTAAACTGGTAATAGGAGAAAATACTATTTTATTTCCTAGTGCTTATGCACCTCAAAACATATGGATGAACGAAATACATATTTGGAGAGGGTGTACATTGGAAGAGATTTTAATGGTTATAAAAGAAAAACACTTATTATGAAAATTAGAGGTGAACATTTAAGAACCTTTAAAAGAAGATTAAGAGTCCATAAATTTTCCTCTAACTAGACATGTGGACTGTTTATCATGTAAGAACTATAACGTTATTTCAGGAGAGAGCTTGAACACCAAGCATAAGATGATGATATTAGACGTATGCATTAAAAATCGTTTAAGATGGGGAAAAAAGGTTAAAAATCCAAGAACTAGATGATCAAACTTAAGAGAAAAAATAATTCCTTTATTTAAGAATAAAATGTTAAAAAACCGAAATGTAATTTAGAAATTAATGATATGTCGAATACAATCATAGAATGTATTAGAAGAATATCAATAGAGATTCTTGAAGAATTAGAAGATAATAGACAATTCAGTAAATAAACTTGGTGCTGCAATAATGAGATGGCACCAAACAATCCAGTAAATAAACTTTCACGTTTCTTAGACTACNCGTATTAGAAGAATATCAATAGAGATTCTTGAAGAATTAGAAGATAATAGACAATTCAGTAAATAAACTTGGTGCTGGAATAATGAGATGGCACCAAACAATCCAGTAAATAAACTTTCACGTTTCTTAGACTACAGTAAAAGCAAAAAAGAGTGTTACAAGACATGGAAAAAAACTAAAAATAAATAAAGTTTTAGACAATATGAACTTGCAAATAAAGAAACTAAAAATATGGTTAGAAAAGATCTTAATTATCTGTTAGATACAAAACATGGACAAAAAAGTATATACTGACTTGTTAAATTAAGAGAAAGAAAACTAAGGATTTAACATTATTAAATATGGATAGCACAAGTTATTGTTCAAATCAGAAAAAGAAGAACCTAAGGTTTTCTGTGTGGGTCATGTAAGATTGTGGAAGAAGCTAAAGGACATTTTTTGTCTTTTTCGTATATTATATGGGCATTTTGATCTTTTTAGCATCCACATTTCGGCGGGAAACATTTTTGGTCCAAGTCAACTCACAAAATAGAAGTGTATCTCACACTTATAATTAGTTTAGACGAAACTTGTATTAATAACACTTTAGTCCAAAATAACATGGGGTTATGTGATAATTTTTTAACTATAGGGGGTGAAGTGCGAAACGGCCAAACTTACCCCTAAATACAGTAAGAACAAGGATTAAAGAGTGTTAGCACAAAATGAAAATTTAATAAAGGGGAAAAAATTATTGAGAAGTTAGATAACAATCTTATAGGGAACTTGTGTGTTGAAGAATATAATAAACAATGTGTACTTGCAAAAACAAATTTTTTCCCCGGAAAAACTTTAGGACCTGATGAAATATTAATTGAAGTATGAAAGTGTTTAACTGATAGTGAGGTAACTTGACTAACTAAATCATTTAATAGGAACACAGGAACCAAGAAAATAACCGATGGGCGGAGAAAGAATATTTCAGTACCAATATATGAAAATAGAGGGCACATTCAAGGTTATACAAATCATTGAGGTATTGAATTAATGCATCATACAATGAACCTTTTAGGAGAGAGTGATCGAGAAATAGTTAAGACTCGAAACAGCAATATCCCATAGCTAGTTAGGATAAAAATTCTTGGAAGATCAACAATAGGAGCATATAAATTTAAGAAACCAATGGGGAGGCAGATAGAGAAAAAGAAAGATCTTCATATGATTCTCATAGACTCAAAGAAAACCTTTAATACAGTCCTAACCATTTGAATTCGACATCTGACTATGAAGTTAAGATTGGTCAAAATTAGAGAAGCTCTATTCAATTACATGTCCCAACCTAAAAGAGGTATCAAATACTAAGTGTCATCGTGTTGCAAAGGATGGACAACCATAATTAGTACGTGGAGGATGAATTTCAGCATGTAAAATATATATAAACTTTGCAAATGTAACATCACCATACAATGTTAAAGTTAATCAAAATTTGGAACCTCTATTTAATTAACTAGTGTGGCCAAAAACTAGAGATGACAAATACTAAAGCATCATCCTGTTGCAAAGGATTCAACATCAGTTAATAGATATAATGACATTATCAAGGATATATATGAGGGTAGAGTGACTTTAGTGAGAACTGGAGAGACTAGTGAATTTCCAACCACTGTAGGTTTATTACCCAAGTCCAACTTTAAGACTTTATTTTTTTGCTTTGGTCATTGATGAATTAACTAGACACACCCAAGACGAGATTTCATTGTGTATATTGTTTGCAAATAATATTTGAAGGTAGTCAAGGTCTAAAGAGCAAGATATTACTGAGTGAACACTCTAAATATTGGGGCCAACTATTCACAGTGATAAAGAAATTGTAGACGATGTTAATCATAAAATTAAAACAATATCAACTGAGGAGAGAAAGGGCATATGATGTGATCGACAACTACTTCTTAAGCGAAAGAGTAAGTCCTAAAAAACAACCATAAGACCTGCAATGCTTTATGGTATGGAGTGTTGGACGATTGAGGGTGTTAAATTAGATGTATGGTAAAACCAGTGTTGTGAAAAGCAAGCCAAGGCGAGAAGCGAAGCGAGGTGACCCTATGTCATCTTAAACAAGCCAGACGAGGCTAGGCGAGGCGAGAGAAAACCAAACAAAAGCGAATAAGCGATCACTTTAGTGAACTTTTAATTCTACGTCCTCTGATTCTTCTCCTTCTCGTCTAATTTAGCCCCTCTTCTTATGATTTTCTGGTTTTGCTGGAACCTCTTCCTCATCTTCTACTTTGTTTCTTTTTTTTTTCTATTGATTTTGTTGTGATATTGATTTTGTTTTTAGTTCTACTGGAACCTCCCCCTCTACTTCTGTTGTGTTGTTGTGTTATGTAATTATGCTTAGACTGATTTTCTGCTTTGTTATGATTGGGTTTTTGCTTTGTTATGTTAGTTTTTTACACTTGTTGCTTAAACTAATTCAATTGTGTTTGTTTTTAGACTGCTCATGTTTGATTCTACTGCTTTGTTGTGCTTAGTTTAATTACTTCCCCTGAAAAGGACCGATTTTGTAGAAACTATATAATTTTTGTTGTTACTTCCTATTTACAACGGAAAGAATTTCATCAATGATGGTTGAGTGCTAATGACCAGATTTTTCATCTGTGATGGTTTAGATATAAAATATTTGCTTTCTTTTATCATTCGCTTCGCTTCAATGAAGCGCTCACTTCGCCTCTCGCTTATTGCCTAGGCCTCTGGAGACTAGTTCGCTTCGGTTCGCTTCACGCATTAAATAACATTGGGGAAAACCATAACAAATAGAATTACGATTTGAGTTTTTTGTAAAACAACAGAAATAGCACCGATAGATAATAAATTAAGAGAAAGCTGACCAAGGTGGTTTGGTGATCCTCAGTGACTTATTCTGCACCAATTAAGATGAGTGATGTGATACCTATCAATTCTAATGCGGGGGTAAAGGTAAACTAAAATTAACATTGAATGAAATAATAAAAAATAATATGATAGCTTGCAATTTCATAAAAAAATATGGCCCTTGATAGAGCACAATAGCCTAAAAAGATTTATAAAGCCAACTCAAAATGATTGGGATCTTGGGACAAGGTTCAAATGCATTTTGTTGTGGCGAGTCAAGTTGAGGAATGAAACAACTAGTTAGATTGAGTAAATATATCAAACAAATGGTAATATATCAAAATTTTGCTTCAATGCCTACTTTATGTCAACTCAAAAATACATATGTTTTGGAAACATAGTGAGTTAGATTGTGAAATTCTAAGGTTTTAGGATAAGTGAAAGGTTTGGGAGAGAAGAGGAGAGAAGAGAAGAAAAATATTACATATAGAGGTAGTCCGTTAAGTTGCACAACTACACCTTAGCCTTTTTATAAATACCTTAAAGTTTTATTGGATGCAAACAATTCTTTCTCTCAAGTCAATAAAGTAGAAAATTAGAAAAATCCTAGACTACCCAAAATAAAAATATACCCTTATTATAAAAAACTTATGTACACTCACACCACCCCTTTCTCTCTCTCTCAAACTCATGATGTGAACCCAGAGAGCATCGAGTTTTTGTCAAATAAGAATCAAAAATGACCTAAAATGTGAGACTTGATGANGCACTCACACCACCCCTTTCTCTCTCTCTCAAACTCATGATGTGAACCCAGAGGGCATCGAGTTTTTGTCAAATAAGAATCAAAAATGACCTAAAATGTGAGACTTGATGAAAAATCTACAAGCTATAGCGAAGAAGGTGTTTTGTGAGCTCATGAAATATTGAATTGTGAGCAATCTAGGTAGCACTTTAATTGTCACACTACATAGGAGCAAGAGGGGAGAGAACAACACCCATATCAGGTAAGGCAAACTATCTTCGCATTGGTGTGTGCTATAGCACGATACTCAACCTCAATAATAAA